CGTTCAACACAGTGTCACAGGCCGTCTGCGACTCGTACATCGAGCAGTCAGTAGTCATCAAATACATATAGGCATACACTGCAACGAAGCCAATCGAGAGCCCGTTCATTGTCCCGCCCACCGCCTGCACCTGTGCAACCTTCATATTATCCATCGACCAGAATGCAGGAGCCTCCTCCTCTGCTGGGGGCAAAACGTTTCGTTGCCGTTCGTCCGCCGTGGGACACGCATCAGGAGCCGCCTCCATTCCTTTTTTATTTATACCTTTGTCTGTATTCGCTTGAGCAGTCTTTCTCGTCGGTTTATGTGTTTTCGCCCCCACACGAAGCAAAACAAAAATAGCAAACAAAGGAGAAAAATAGCAGACATCAACGGGGCACAACAGCGAACTCCACGGAGGCTGTACACGACAGGTAAACGCAATAGGAGTAATAGCAGTGAAAGGAGGCAAAGTCAATGGAATTTACAGTGCGTTTCCTCGTTATGTTGCCCGTAAACAGGCATTGTGTTTACTATATTGAGAAAGCAAAATGTTTGTTATGTTCGTATCGGTTTCGGTGTTCACGTGCAATAGAGCCTTTTTTTTTCTGTTTATTTTTCGTATTGATGATAATGTGGGCGGTAATGTGACTGTCATTGGCATCAAGGATTCGTTAGTAAATTGTATGCAAGACATTTCTAGCATCCTTGTGTTTCACTGCGTTGTTAAAGAGCGTGCATAGTGATACCTTCCTACTTTGTGGTCGTAGCATAAAGGGAAAAGGAGCAAAAACACAGATGAAGAGTTGTTGTTGTTTTTTCTTTGTAGTCTCAACGTGGTTCCTGCAGTAGCATGAATAAAAAATGCACTCTATTTGTGAAGCAATGATTAGGCATAATAAAGACCAAATAATAAAAAAGTGTTTGCGCTGTTTTTTTTTTTTTTTTTACTTTAAGGAAAAGAAAAGCAAGACTCATGGTTTTGGTTGCATCTCTTTCTCCGTAGCACCAAAACAAACTTCAGTGCATCTATGCTGCTAGCTGATCTAACAGCATTTTGAGGGCCCTTGTGCGCTCCCCAAAGTCGCGAATGGCGACACACGAGCACTTGAATGTCTTAACGCTGCCATCGCTTTTCTGCTTCTGAAGCCCTGCCCATTCTGCAAGCTCCTCACGTGACTCCACCTCCACGAAGTCAATGTTAGCCTTGGTGGCAAGGCCCTTGATGAGCTTCTTGTATTCCTCGTCCTCACAGTCTGCGGCAAGAAGACACATGTAGGCAGTACGGCGGTCCAGGGCGCGAGCAACCTCTGAAAGGCCGCGCACCAGACCGTTGACCTCCCTTGACTTGCGAACGACAATGCGGATGGCATCCTTGAGGTTTTCAGGCTCCACGTCTACTTGCTGGGTGACGGTGGGCTCCTCCACCTGCTTCGCAACCTGTGTTTCGTCAGCCATGGTGTGTGTTCTTGTCCAGTGACTATGTCTTAGCGCTGGTTCATTTAAAAAAAAGAAGTTACATTTGGGTATATTATGGGACGTGAAAAGAATGTTTAAGATAAAGTGACAGTCACAAAACATAATGCTCCAGATGATGCGGCATGATCAACTTTAAAAAAGAAAAAGAAAAAGAAAATAGCTCACACTGCGACAAACAAAAACAAAGTGGTTGGGAGGACTCTCAAAACAGTCTCATCCCATTTCTTCCCACACTATGGAAGCGAATTTCGTTTCCTCTCTTCACCATATAGGTTCCTCATTATTTTGTGGCGTTATTCTACTCCTGATGTTCCTTTCATTGGGTTCATTTATGTTCTCTTCTCCTTCTTACCTGCCTTGGGTGTGAGGGGGCGTGCCTTCGCATACCCCGCCCTTCCCGCTCTCCCACCTCCTGTCCCTGTGTATCTTAACTGTTGCCCGTTCGGCCTCTTCCCCCTGGTGTAGCTGCATGGTCTCCGCCTTACCAAAATGGACACCAACCTGAAAAATGAACGCACAAATTTTCGTTGGACGTGGCCTGCTCAATCAGTCTCGAAACCTGCTCGTCCACAGTGAGGCCATCATCACCACAGTTCTGCCTATCCTGAAAGAAGTCAAGTCCCTCAAGTTTCTCTTTGATGCGGTTCACGACACATTGCGCCTTTCGAGTCTGCTGCAGTGTAGTCTCTTTTTCCTGGCAGCCTGCACGCGAGATTGCTCCCCGACGGTGCAAAGATCGTTGGGTTCCGTGTACACTCCCCACATTATATTCTCCATGAATGGCACGCAGTGATCCTGTCAGCGAGGTGGACTGGGTCACACTATCCTGTGCGTTTCTGTATCCGTCGTTCCCTTGCTCATCACGCCACCAAGATACTAGAGGATCGTGAACAAACGCCTCTAATAGGGCCAGTAGGCTACTACCCTCTTCCCGCAGAACGCCCATCACCATAATGCACCCATGCCGAAAAAGGCCTTCTATGCCCCCCATCTCCATTGCCTTAACAAGCATACGCGTAAGGCGAAATGGCACCTTCTCTGGGTAATTGCTACGTTGCTGTGCAACCTCGAAACAGTCTCCAAAATCGATGTGCACCACTCTTCCACTAAACGCGTGTATCATCAAATTCGACGGGTGGCGATCACCAAGACCCAAAATGTGACCAACCATAGACATGGTAGCAAGAGAACTGACGTAGGTTGTTCGCCTCTCAAGCCATGTCTCCGCGCTGGGAGCCTTCATCCAGAGCGAACGGACAAGGTCGGCACCTTCGGTCCTTTCCAATGCCAATTCAAATGGTTCGACATGTTGAATAAGAGTGAGATGATGTAGTTCATCTGACATGTTTCGCATTAGGTTGAGTTCGATACTGATGTAGTCGGGATTGATGCGGTACTCCTTAATGATCTGGTGGAGTGTGTCACAGTGATCCACCCAACCGACAAGTCCAGCGTTGTCACTAAGTGGGGTTACAGAATAGGTTTGAATAAGACATCCTCGACGTTTAGTTACCAAGTGTTTTTTCAAAATGGTGTTTGCAAATCCTAGTAACTGCATTACCCGTTCGTCTAGCCGGAGGTCTTCATGACCCTTCAACAAGAACTTGTAGAGATTTCCGTCGGAACCGTTAATAAATATGCGCCGTGGGCGCTGTTTCGAGTTCATTACTTTCAAAGTACTTCGAAAAGAAGCAATGCGTGGATAGTTGTCATTCTCCCTATATTGTCCTGGAACAACCAGGGACAAGTTCTTCCCATTCTGCAAGAGGCGTGGACTCACCAACTGCAAAGCTAACGATGACATTCCATTGATCTGTTCATCCACCCTTTTTAGCAGGGTCCTAAACCGGTTCCATGCCTCTTCCATATAGCCTTCACGGCCCAATGAAGCAGCCTTCTCTACGTAACCAAAGGCCTCCGTCAGAAGTTGACCACATTCCATGGCAAAATGTGATTCCGCCATTGTTTCAGGTGTTTTTAGTTGCTCTAATAAAGGCTTTAATGCCAATAAAACATTATAAACGTTTTTCTCACTTCCCCATCTAAACCACACCCGTTCCAATTCGTCAAGCCATAGCTCCGGCCACAGGACAGCACACCTTACCAATTCACGACAAGCCAGAGCAGCATCATTAACCATGGCTTTTCCATTATGATGAAATTCTGCAATTCGTGCAAGCACACGCTGCGTCCCCTTTTGTCGTTCCACATTCTCGGATGATCCCTTCCCTTGGTAGCTCGTGTTCGCAACATTCAAGCTATAAAGAATAGCTTGCGGATGCGATTTCGCAATGATGACCATAAGATGATAGGCATATTCCGCAATAACTGCATCACGAGAATAAATGCGAGCAATAATTTGTGGAATGACCTTTAGCCACACTGTTGGACTTACTTGGTGAATCCCTCCCTTAATAGATGCGTTCCCTTGAATCGATGGCAGTGATGCATGCATAAACCAAAGCGACAGAAACCCAAGCGTATCCTCCAACTCCTTTGAAAGGCAAACACTTCGGAGATACCCATCAATAGCCCGAAAAATGTGCTCCTCAGCATTTGGAGAGAGGTTACCAGAGATATTTTTAGTTGCTGCCTCATGATGCAGACGGGCCCATGTATGCCAAATGGATCCGTTTTTATTATCCAAATCGGTGGCGCGGTGCAAGTGCTGCAAAGCGCTTCTTAATGTTTTGGTAAAATTGTGTGGCTTTTTTCGATGTGTTAACCATTCCGCCAACTTGGCGTGACAAACTGCCAACTCTTCTTGCGCGTGATTGGCGGGCTGAATCTCCACCTGTTCCACCTTTTCCAAATACTGCTCCAACATCTCTATCGCCTTATCTTTCCGGTTGGTTTCGTACAGGTGCTGAAAGGCACCTAGGGCTATCGCAGGCTGAAGCATCTGATTCGCGACCGCCGACTCAATGGACTGGTTCCCAAGCAATTCATGCAGAATGTTTTTGGAAACCTGCTCTCGGCCGTTGGCACGGCTAAGACTAACAAAGCGGAGCCACATGTCCAATTCCTGCGCGGGATGCACCACGAGAGTGTGATTGGCCAAAGTGCCTGGCCATCCTTCGTACGCCATTCGATCCCAGTCGCCTCTCCCAAAGTTCCTGCCAACGATGCACGCTTCGCATATCACGCGCTGCCACGGCAAGCTCTTCCAACTCACTAAGCTGTTGAATGCCAACAAAAAGCTCATAAGCTCGGTCGTAACTCTCCGCCACAAGCGCAGACAAATTGGAGTCTAATCGTCGGCGACACAACTTGATGAGTCGATCTGACTCACGGAATTGTCTTTTCCTTGTCGCAAGCACAGCCTTGTAAAATATGGCTGTGGTGCCAATGTAACCAGCGTCACTCATAAATCCAGTAATATGCTCCATATCATCCCAGCGTCGCATGAGCCATGCAGCGTGGGCCCCCATGGGAGCCAACTCCGCAACGTCTTTTTTATTTACCTGCACGGAATACTGCTTCCACAAGTTAAGTACCTTCTCATAACTTCCCAGGGCGTCTAGCGCCTTCATTAACCCAACTATATTGGAAAGTGTATTTGGCTCCTGTCGTAGACGTTGTTCATAGGCTCGATAGCTTTGGGACCACCATTGTAGTTTATCGAAGAGTGTTGCATCCATCATTTGCGAAAGCTCAGTAACCTCCTGCCCTGTAAGCATTGAGTAGTTCTGTTGAATGAATTTTAACACCGCATTCGCACTTTCTCTCTGTCCAAGCAGGTTACAAAGATAAATGCTCTTTTCACAAAGCTGCAGTAAATTTTGCCAAACTCCAGAAGGTAGTGGACGTGGAATCCCTCGAAAAACGCTTCGCTCATACTCTCGAATGGTCTCAAAAAACTCAATTTCAACATAGTGGAGCGCTTTAGAGTACAAGTTGCACCGTTCACTACTCTCCATTAACGTGGGAAGGTCGAAGAGTCTAAAATCCGGGTAATTACTTCCATGCCCATTGCTGTGTGCGTTCTGACGAATCTCAAGACGCTCCATGTATTCAGACAGGTTGAGTAACTCCTGCAAAACCTCGGAGGGCACCCGTGGTCCATGCAGCACCTCACTCAGTAGCGAAACCACCTCTTGCCGGGTGCTTCCATTCATTTCATTATAGCAAGTAGCAAAGGCAGAGTATAACATTTGACGTGCAAAAGGATCGTGTAACTCGGCCAGCGCGAGAGCAGATCCATGGGACGGTGATGGACTTGAGCGTAAAAGAATCACTGCAAGCTGCGTGAGCCAGTGATTCCAATCCTCGTCATTGGAACGAACCCAGTTTCGCAGTACATGCCGCAAAGTCTCAAAGGGATCCGCCGGCCGTTCTCTGGGCAATTTGGCTATGCTGGGACCCGAACGTGAGGCAACAGTGGCATTCTCCCCATTGATTTCTTCTTGACACAGTTGCATCTCTGGGTGTTTTCTTGTGTTAATGTTATCCCGCAAAACGCTGCAGAAACGCTTGTAGTTTACACTCATCCCCCCATAATACCCTGCAACGACAGGAAAAACTATGGGTGTAAATTTTTCAAACGCCCTTCCCAGTCTCTGCGCAATGGAAAGCAGGGCTGTTAGGGCAGCATTTCCCAGGGAATTTTCCGTGGTCGCCTTCATATGCCCCGGCTCTTTCAGAGCTCCACAAAGGCAATGAACACAGCGTGACGCATGAAAACGAAGACTGGAGAGTTGTTGGGCAAAACTTTTAAGTGCATCCACTGCTGCTACGCGACATGCCGTTGAAAATGAAGCGTTTACAATCACATCACACACCACAGGCAAAACATTGTGCAGTTCATCCTCTAGAAGTGATCCCATCTCTGAAAAGAATCCAAACACCCTTTCACCGGTTACATGCGGGCTCTCCTCCACCACATTGAGAATTGGAATGAGTAACGAAGACAAGTACGGCCGAAATTCTTCACGAAAAGAACGCCGGAGCTGCTTTACAAGAACAAGCGTCTGATTGAGAACAGGAATGTCAGAAGACGAAATAAATGAGGCTACAGCTGAGGTGAGTTCATCCAGGTGTGGGCGAATGTGGCCTTTAATATGTGAAACAAACGAGGTAAGAGAAATTAAAATCTCTTCCCGCTTACGTACCTGCATTTGGGCTTGCTTCAAAATCGATGAGAGGATCTCCGCGTGATAAGGGACGAGAACACTGGAAGATTCCTCCCTCAGTGAAATCACCTTCACAACCACATTCACTGCGCCCACACTTTGTTCTTCCGTTAATGAAGGCAGCGAAAGAATCTGCAGGACGCTGCGCACGACAGTCTGAGCAATGGAATCTTCGCTCCCCAACCCAAACGCGGGCATCGCCTCCGTGTCACTCTCATTAACGCGTGAATCCCGAAGAATTTCTTTTACTCGAATGGGATCAACAGCACCAATAACTCCCATAAGCTGTAGCACATCATTTCTAACAGGCCAAGTCTCCTTGAATCCACCATGCAACGCTTGAAGCAAGACGGAGAGAAGTTCGGGATGGGCTTCAAAGATATTCACGTCTCTTGTCGTACGAATAATGTCGCCAAGAGCTCGTAAAACTTCCCGTTTCTTTGGTAAATGGGAGGAGTCCAAAATATGTTGAACGACAATGGGACGTATTTCGGCAGCAACCCGAACATCATCGCCCTCCGCATACCGTACGAGCTTTCCAATACACGATAAAAGTGCTGTTACCACTGAGTCCTTCTGCGAAGGCTCCCGTAGACGTTTAACGCAGCTGTTAAGCAAGGAGGGTACATATGGTTTGCAGAAACCAGGTGTAGACTCCACGATGGCCCCCAACAGGGAGAATGCCTGTTCTTGCTTCTTTGCGTGCTCAAAAAATTGTATCTCCGTCAAGCATTGCACCATTATTTTCCTTAACATAGGGCAGACGTGTGCCGGATTCCGACGTGACACACGACCCAGTAACCGAACCACCACTAATCGGTTTTGATGCTTATCGTATAGGGCCGGAAATAACGAGCTAACAACGTGCTGGGGAGACAAGGTATGATCGTACTCCTCGGTGAAGCTCTCCAACGTATGCAGACGAATATCACTCTCGGGATCGGAAACAGCCGCATTCACAAGTGTACTTATCACAGTGTTAACAAGCTTTGAGTGGTCACGACCGTGGTGAAGCACAACTCCCTCTGGCGTCCGTTCACAGGGCAACTGAGAACCTGCGCACCCAGAGAGAACAAGCTTAAAGCAAAGATTTATCGCCGCCCGACGTAACTCCTCGTGAGGAAATGAAACATAACGAATAACGGCATCACAGAGGAAGGGTAAAGTAGAGTATCCTGAGAAATCCAGACTGCTTAGCGCACTTAAACACTGCAAGGAAAGCACAGCATCAGCATCGCTCTCACCCGTGCCCATGGATAGGCGTTGATGAGCACTTAGCAGCTGTTCTTTCGTCGCGTCCAGCATCTTCGAAAGACAGGTAGAGCGCAACTCCGGGAAAGCCTCACATATTCTTGCAATATCCTTCGCAAACCCCACAGTTGGAGGTCCAGAAAAAAGTGGAGACAAAATTTGGCGCAAATAGGGTCGTACAGCCTTGGGGCTAACCTCAGCAAGGGTCGCAAAACATGTGACGGCCTCGAGGCAGCGGCCATCCCTAGATGTTGGCGCTAGTGCCGCCTGGATGTGCGGCATCATACGTTCAAGATAAAGCGGCACATAATCCCGTAATAGGGCTGCCAACTTCCCAATTGCAAGAAACATCATCGACTTCTCCTCACAACACGTTGCCGTGCGAAAGACCGTTGATGCAGCTGAAAGGATAACTGGAATGGAATGCTCCCTAAACGTCGCGGCATCGTAGGATGCGAGGAGAATGAGGGAGTTTAAAAGTTCTCGCCGAATTTCCTGTGAAAGGTTGGGTTTGTCTAAGTTCGTATTAATGCAGTGCCAGATCTCATGCAACTGAGAGACGGCGGTAGAAGAAAGCGTCACTGCTGTGCCGTAGGAAGAGGTGTCATTCATTATGGAATATAGTACGGCATTAAAACACAAAATCGCACCATGCTGCAGATCCTTTCTTTTGGATTCAAAACCCCGCATCGAATCCTTCAAAAAATTGTCCCGCCATTTTGTGATGGCACCTGGATGCATGGATGTGTGCATGACGGAAAATGCATGCTGCAGGACGCACGCTGCCTTATCTCGCACTCGCTCAGATGAGTCAAGCAACGCCGCCCGAATCTTCTCGAGCACCACATCAAGCGAAGGCACCACCGTTGACGGGGTATGTTGTAACAGCTGACATAGGAATAGAGTAGCAGCGACCTTGTCTACCGCACCTCCCCCTATCTGGAGATCATTGATGCATGATTTCAACCTGGCTTGTGCAATTCCCTCCGCAAAACTACCGCTGTTGTTCAGTAAAAGACCCCACACCTCAGCTGCCTTTTCCACCACGACTACGTCGGAGGACTTGACAGACCCCTCCAGCAACTGCATGAAAAACTGGGACAAACTGTTGCTACCAATGTAATCGGCGTCCAAGAGGGTTTTGGTGCACAAGATCCCGGCAAGTTGTGTCCCAAACTTACTAAATAAGCCTTGAATTTGTGTATTGATCCAATTTGAAAGCCCCGAATAAGAGGCTCTGGAGTCCCCGCCCCCGCCGCTGCTGCTGCTGCATTGAAAAAAGATGTCGCTTTCGTCTCCGATGATGTACTCTAGTTTCAATATAACAGACGGTAGCGTAGCAAATGTGCTTGAATGAAGTTCATTGAAGATGGGCTGCAGCTGGCCTATCAACGGATGAACACAACTTTCCATATCAGTTGGCTTGCATTAAAGCGATAACGCAAAGCTAAAACTATGGGACAAATACATGTACAAGTTGAAAACAAAAACAAAAACAAAAACAAAGCGGAAAAAAGGAAAAAAGGCGTCACTATTAATGCAGAGAACCTCAGCAGTAGATGTCTTGGTAGGCGCCCAGTCAGTACAAGACAAAATAGAACCACTATATATATATATATACTGTTGGTGTTGGCATTTTTCTATTCCTTCTTTTTCCGTCTTGTAAGGAGGGTGTATTATATCTTTTGTGTCTCACCTCTCTCGCGTCGTATAGTTTGCTTCGCTGGCTCCACAGATGATTGTGGATGCGCTTACCTCCTTCAAGCATCTGCATTGTTCCTATTGTTTCTGTTTCTTTTTCTGTTTTATTATTATTATTGATCCCCCATATGTCGATGCATGTGCACATATATATACATATATATATATATATAAGTGACTTATCCTTCACTATAACCCCCTCTCACACACATAAAGTGGCTTCATCAATTCATCTGTTTCACTGGTCCGCAACGTGCGTGGCCCTACAGCGTGCTGAAGGTCAACGTGACTCAGCGATCAGTCCGTCAGCATATGCCTTGCTTTGCTGCTCAGTGCTGCTCAGTTGCCAGAAGGCAACTAAAAGAGAAGGTCATTAAGGTTTGTTCCCAACTATAGCAGGACCCCATCAACGAAACCGCGCAGCCCCCACCCCATCCTCCACAGCAACAACACGATAATGGCAACGGTGACACGAGTGAGCAATGGCGTAGGGTCAGTCGCTGATGGCACCCTGCAAAGAAAGTTTCAAAAAAAAAAATGAACTACCAAATTCAACCTTTATTCGGACCTCTTTCTCCATTCATGTTCCCCACCTCATGTTTTTATCCCCTATTCCTCATTATTTCGTCTGTTTCTTTGCTGTTGCCGTTGTTTTGTTTTATTTGTCTCATTTCCTCCTCCAGCCATCGTGCTACGGTAAGCCGTTCCACAGCTGTGACACCTGCACCCCGCGCCAGTCTACCTTTTTTCTTTCATCCTAACAGCCTCGTGTCTTTACGGAGCCACATCACCCACCCTCACGCTGCAGGGGTCTCAGTGTTTGATTTTGCGTTTTCCACTGCGCCCTTCCCATTCATCGCGCCGCTCATTAGAGATGCTTTCTTCACCTCAGCGAGGCGTGTGGCCTGTGTGTCGTTCCAAACCACGTAGACTCCAAGCATACCGGCGGCAGCGGCGGACGCGTACTGCACCGTCTTGTAAGGGTTGTACCACGGCATCCACTGGTAATACACCACCATATCAAAGAAGTACCGGAGCAACGAAATAAGTGTATCCCACAGAATCTTCTTACGCCCCTCTGCGCTCTTCTTTGGCCATTCCGGGGACGCTAGGTTGGCTCGCAGACCAAGCAGCTCGTAGAAAAACCCGCAGGTCAATGAAAGCGACTTGAAGAACCAATAGCCAAGACTTAGCTTGTTGCGGTCCCAGTGGCGCATCACAACCGATTGGTAGTAGTTGAGGTCCCCAAAGACCTGTTCCAGGGAGCGAAAGAAAAAGGAACCAAAGAGGCACAGCCAAGAGAGTAGCGGACGGCCATTCCTCTGCTTTAATGTGACTATCGCGGAGTTTAAAGAGGCGACGTGCCTGAAGTGATTAGCCAACATACGGCAATTAATGATGGCAGAGCCAAAGCTGGCATAACTCTGACGTGTCTCCTCATCCTTGCTGTAGATAGAGACCAAACGAGAGAGGCCCGCCAAGGACTTCAAGACCAAATCAATGCCTGCCCCTTTTTTTACGTAGGCATCAACTGAGGCACAGAAGGGAACAACAGTGCCCTTTTCTTTCATTGTCGATTGTTCCTTAGCTCCACTCGTTAGACCTCCCACAAAAACAACAACAACAGCAAACAAACAAACAAAGAAAAAAGCGGGAACCGGAGTGTGAGAGGAATGAAAGAACAGAGTAAGCGGCAATCAGGGGAATTGAATCAGCACATAAAGACCCTTCAATGCAGCTGCAAGAGCAATCCAAACATGCTTCCCTCAACTTATTCTGTCACCCATGTTCAAAGCCCGGAAATAAGGAACAAATAGAGAAGAATAAAAAATAAATGAATAGACGGAAAATGACGGCATAAATTGCTACATATGGACAGTATACAAAGAGCAAAACAGGTATGCTATTTCCCTCTTCATTTCCTCTCAACCATCCAAAAGTTCCTTCTCCGTTGCATTTGCTTCCTCGTCAAACAAGCGGAACTGAGCAGCCTGTTTTTCCTCCTCTTTGTGATGAGCTACATCTGATAAGGGGGTCATGATGACACTATGAATTTCATGAATAGCCTGAGCTGTTGCAGAGTTCACAGCTGTGACACCAAAATGATACATGCCAAGAAGGGAAGGCGAGGAAGCCGTTGTACAAAAAACTGCTCGGCTGTAATCCTCCAAGCGTGGCTCCTCGTCCATGTGGGTCACGTAGAACACGCTAATGGTGCCTGAATTATAGTGGATAGTAATGGTAATGTGAAGCTCGCCCAGCGAAGGCACCCGACAGTGACCTTGGCGACGCGACAACAAGGATCGGCGATCCATGTCAGAACTGTTGTCATTTTGAACAAGCGAAATATCATCGTAATGCCCCAAAATTACGCCCACACCAAAGAAACGTTTGCTAAAGCCAAAGAACTCCGTATCCGTGTCTCCAGTAATCTTTTTCACAGTGGTGTACCAGATACCAATGCCACTGTCACTCATATCACCACGCCCACCCACGTGACGCCCGCGCATCTGCAACGTGACGTTGAGTTCAAAGGATTCCATGTGATTTGCATGCCGATTCCATAAATACCCCTTGGCACCGGGTGATCTTCCCGTAAGACGGATATAATTATCCGTCACGACCGTGCTGAGGCCAAAGGACCAAAAACGCATACCACTTTCCCAGTAGTTTTGCAGAATTGGTGGAACGACAGAGTGAACCTGTATTTGGTCCATCCCGCTCACCTCTCGCACAGGGAGAAGCAACATCAGCAGAAAGAGCAGCGGTGTAAAGGCACGCATTTCAGGCTACTTATGTCCTTGCAGGGAATTTCACACTATTAAATCAGAAAGAAGAACAAAGAAGATTATTATTAGCATGTAACGTTAAGATAACAACATGGAACGAGATGTTCTGGCGCCGCAGGAGACAGGGAAAATGAGACCACCACCACGGAGACGTGCCGTATGTATTTCCTACTAGAAAGGGAGAGAGAAAGAGAAAGAACGCAAAAAAAAAAAGCAAAAAAAAAAAAAAGGAAGTGGCGTTGTGTCAGTCACTTAGCATGGCCGGGTCCACTTCATCCTGACGTGTATCTTCCAGGCCCACCATCAGCTGCGGCGCCTCACCTTCGTCCACTTCTCGCGGGTTAAAGTCGGTGTCGATGTCAGCGCAGTTTTCGATACTATAGTACAACTTGGCCTTCAGCACCTCCACTGACGAGTAGTCCGGGAGCTCCAGGGCAAAAAAGCAGGTGGCTGCACGGGGCAGTGCGCTATCCGCGTCGCCTGAGGTAGAGAGCGGTAGAACACGCAGCTTGACAGGGAGCCTGTCCCGCCCGGAAACAAACCGCAGGAATAGTCGGCGTTGCAATGGCGTCGCATCTTCCAGGGCTTGCCACAAAAATTGTACCCTTCTGTCATCACTTGTCAGCCCCTCGTACAGAGCACCCTCTCTCAACTCTCCCACAGAGTAATCTGGTTTACCGCAAATGCGAAACTCCAGTTCGCTTGGGGTCAACAGGCAAAGCACAGTTTCAGGAATCACGCTCAGTAACCCATCGCGTATCTTCCCAAGCTGCCGCGTGTACTCACCAAGTCGTGCAGAAGAAAGGGCGTCAGCGTAGTCCTCACAGCGCTCCAGAGTAACACGGGTGCTACTTCCGCCCGGTATCAACTCCTTTATTGACCCGTCGCTGAGACGCGTTGTAAAGGTCTCAGCATCAAATACATCATCAAACATGTCACCAGAGCCGACACGGCTCTTCAAACTTCTAAACTCTCGGATGCACTGCAAGCAAATGCGATCTACATCGTCGATGTCCGATTCCTCAATGGGATAGAAGCATAAAAACTTCCAGACAATAGGAGGGAAAAAAAGACCTAGTGGTTCATTGTTTCGCATAGCCCCACCCATTAACTGGCCAAGAAACACAAATGCCGCCAACTCGGCCGCTCCTACCGCAGATGCAGCAGGCACAAAGGCATCACGGTACGTACCTGTGTCATGCACATTGTTGGCTGTTGGAACAAACAGCGGCAAGGAGGTGCTCATAAGCTCACGGCACATCTCACTAATGTGCTCTCGGAATGGGCCACCAACGTCCTCGGAACCCTCACCTAGAAACACAACACCCCAAAGCCGTTTGTTTGTACGAAATGCGCGTGGATGCTGGCCGGCTAGTAAGGAAAAAGTTTGCCCAAAGACGGTTGACATCCATAAACCCTTGTTTGAACGGGCCTTCAATCTGTTAATAGACAGCCGAAGGTGTTCGGTACGAACATTTGTCACACGAAGAATGTCATCTATGATATCATTCCTAAGTGACGCAAAAAGAAGACCACGACACGCTAAAAAAAGTTTTGTGGATATATTAGGATGTCGGGTATCAAGATGCAGAAACGGGATAACAGTCTGTGAAACCCGAGAAAAGGCAACCAGTAGCATATATGTCTTCCATGCTTCCTGAGCGGGGATAGGAAGATCTCGAAAGATCTCCGTGCAGACTTCCTCCGTTATCTGTGCAAAACTTTTGCCCTCCCTTTGGCAGTACTGCTGTATGGCTTCCACAACCATAGAATAGGGTTTCACCTTATCCCGTATAGTAAACTCATCAGCAGAAAGCCAAATATCGCGCAAGGCTCGTAACCGCAGTAGTGTTGTTGATGGACGAAGAGTCGAGTAAAAGGCATCCATCCGTTCATTCCAGGAGTCCGGAACACCTAACGCACAAAATCCTTCAGGTTTGTACTTGAAACTGGAGGATCCAAAGTTAAACAACACTTCATTCCCAGCTCGAAGCGAGACTGCAGGTTCGTAGGCAATCGTAGTCGGTAGCCCCGCAAATGTGCTATCGTTCAAGTTACTATCACATAAAAGTCTACCATTGTACAGGAAGATCATTTTTCTCTCCACAATATCCAATGCACAACCAATGACGTCTCCCACCACCCAGCGACGTGAAGCAGTGAGGGGTTCACTCTTTCCATCATGCCACTTAAGACGTCGAAAGAGATCGATCGACCACGAATTGGGAGTGTCCCCGACACCTCCCGTTTGTGGGTCATCCGATGAAGCCCATCCAATCTGAACGAGTCCCTGAGAACGCAACGTGACCTCATAGTACCATTTTCCCCCTGAAACACGGCAATTCGCCCGCACTGTTGCGAATCGAGTTCCCGCGTTTCGTACATGCAGTAAATTTATTTGTACACCCACAGAAGAATGCAAAGAAACATGCGGAGGACCAAATCGTTCCGTTGAGCCATCAAACGGGTTTGCCTCCTCGTGAAAAAAGGTTGGTAACGTGGTGCGACCGGCAGAGACGATGTAAGTAGCAAGATCGTGAAAGGCGCGAAGCTGATTGTAGGGAATAAGTGTCCCAAGTGAAAGGTTCGCTGGGTCGAGAGGAAAACAGTCCCGTGGAGACTCAAACTCAAAATGGGCTCCACCAAAGTTGATTGTGACCCCCTCTTCCTCTTCAAGCACAAAAAATGGATAATAAGACATCTCCAGCTCATCTTGCTGGTTCGCACCAGCAGCACAAACGGCCTCCGCCTCATTTGCAGCAAAGTGAAAGAAAAAACCTGTGTCGCACCCATTAACAAAGAAGGAGCACGTCTTCTTAGCGCCATCCATGACAACTCCAACGTAGTCCTTAGCTTTCCAAATACGGCGTGGGGCCACGGAAGTGTCTTTCGCTCCATGGAAGGCGCCAGTTTTGCCGTTAAACGTCAAAAATGTATCAGGCGTTGGTGCATCAGACCAGTCATGGAGCTTAGATGGAAGCACGCCTATAAACACGTCCCCTGTCGCCATCATACGCACCTCAAAATACCACCTTCCAGAGCCAAGAGGCACGTCAGCGACAACGGAAGTTCCTGAACGTTCACTCCAAGCCAATATTGTCTTATTGGGATTAACTCCTATACGAAGGCTTTCTGGGTGAAGCACTTTTTCAACAGTCACACGCATTCCCTCTCGACGTCGGTACAAGCTGCGTTGTTCAAGCCTCTTCTGCATAAAAGATTCTGTATCGGCTGCGGCGTTGTATACTTCATCACGAATCTTCACTTGTGCATCCCCAATGACCCGCCAACAATGCTCTGAATCTTTGAGAGCAACGTAAAATTCGGCCACGGCCTGAACAAAGCGACTTTGAAGGTGCTGGGAAGCTATTGTTCGCCGGAAAAGGCGTTCCGCCATCCGTCGAAGGTCGTGCATGCGAGCCACATGCGGCATGGGTTCAATGTGCTCTGCCCCATACGTTAAGATGTTTGTTAAGCATGACAATACTATGCGACGTGTAATGCCAACATTCATTCTGCTGGCATTCGCCAAGGATTCAAGGCAGGCGCCTGTTTGCAGGAATTGCACATGCGACATCCCCCGCGCAATCACCGCAGACAATGTGGCGTAAAGCAATCGAGCCGCGGATCGTGGCACGAATGCATCATACAATACAACAACCTTGTATCCCCATTGGGGAGTAGAGGCATCCATTCGAACATCAAAAAAAAACGTGGGGCTCGAATCAAGAGCGTATGTAATGCGTAGCCAGGAGTTTGTGCAATAATACTCGAAAGGGTATGATCAGCGTAGAACGTGACAAGCACGCTACTTGACGAGCACCGTGAATCAAAGTAAAGTTCATACGCACGTCGACCAGGCACATAAACCTCATGAGCCGTTTCAGATGTGGATTTGAAGGGGTGTGAGGACTCAAATACCATCATCTTCTGCTCCCGCTGCACCATGTCAACAAGCTCCTCGATGGCGTAATTTACAACATTCCCATCGTCAGCGCCTGCCAAATGTTGTAGTGTTGCGGAAAGTGACTGTAACAGGTCGTCGTCAAGTGAATTCACGGTAAGTCGCACCATGTTTCTTGCTTGCTCCTTTGTGAGTAATTTTTTTACATTAGGTGTAAGCCGCATCACGTGCGTCAGGATGGCCACCGCATAATAGCATGCAAGTTGTTTGTCAAGTTTGAGAATAGATGTCAGAAGATAGTCCTTTCGCTGTTCCTTCCGTCGTCTCCAAAGGGTAGTAAAACTACTGGCTTCATTTACAGTATCCACGCTGAAGATGCCATCCCCGCCATTTTGTGTGGTGAAGTCAATCTCGTGCTGACAAAAATCATTGGAGCTTCCACTTCCCTCGGTCTGTTCAAACCACGTCACAGCCCCCACTACGGTGACGCTTGCGGTATACGGTGTCCCTCTCGAAATCGCTTTGATGGTGTCACTTGCACACACAAGTGAGAGGGAGTGATGCGGAATCAGACCCCACGATCTCAACGAAGCCAAATTACCCACTTCCTCCCTCGTCAGGGCAGCCCCAAAGATTTGAATATTTTTCATTCCTCCGTTGAAATGCGTTTCCTCACTCTCCGTGGATCCACCAAAGTAAAGTTCATTCTCAAGTAGTGCGCAGCGTTGCGCAAGTTTCATTTCGGACTGAAGCACGCCAGCCTTGTAAAGAGAAAAGACCGATGCATCCTGCACTATTGTTAACTGTATCCAACGTAGCGTGTCCACGTACTGAATAGAAAACTTGCACAGTGATGAGATATCGCCTCCTAGCCTCATCCAACCGCAGTAAAAGGAGGAGTTTTGAATATGCGCCATAAGCCTCCAGTCTCCCGTGACAGACTTTTGATGAAACACCACCTGCGTTGCGGTACTGTCAAATATATACAACTGCATATCAATCGTAAATTTTGGCCCCAACGGCCGCTCGCCCGCAACGCAGATGTAGCCCCTAATAAAGCGGATCCCATCGCTCAACGAGGGATCGCAACGATCCACAGAAACTTCCTCATCTATTCCCTCATCGCTTTCAGCGGGGAACAAAACGTGAAGATCATACTCCGCAGCGTCAATCTCAGCATCACCGCTGCTCATGTCTTCATCTTCACTGGAGGAAGACGTCGTACGCCGTCTTGTTGACATAAAGTCGCCATGATGATCGCCTAGTAACTGAAGAGCCAGCTGGACGTCATTATTGGTCTCGTCCAGCGCCAAAAAACAGAGGTCAAGATTGTAGCCTCGCATGGATAGCTCCTGTGCAAGGCGTGTTCGTAGCTCTCTACTGTCACCACCGCCAACCGCCACAGCACCCGCAGCGTTGCCAGCGCTGCTCCCGCTCAGCACCCGCCCAAGGAGGCAATGCTCAATCACCAACCGCTCCTGGGCCAACGCCTGGTGCTCCTCCAAAAAGTTTTCCCCACCATCACAGAATTTTGCCAGTATGGGAAGAACTTCAATTGGCGCCACAAGAAATCCCTTTTGCACGCATCGCCAGATAATTGCAAGTACTCTGCATCGAAGGATGGTTCCCGTCAAACCATTATCAACGCCAGTCTCACCCCAGATCCGTTGGGCTAGGCAAAGGACCTGCGTGACTTGCCTTTTGTGAAACTTATTATCGCTTTGAGGAAATGTCACCGCATCGTCCCCCATGGTGATGTCCGTCTGACGCAATGAAATGATTCGTCGTTTCTCCTCATCCTCAATAATTTCACACGTTTCGTCGTCCAGTGAATAGTCAACCAAAACAGCTGTGACTTTTGTATGCTTCGACTTTTGCACCACAACGCGATCTCCAGGCACCAGCAGTCGTGGCGCCCCAAATAAAATGCGAAGCGCCAAAGAAGTGTTTACCGTGTCCTTTGGTGTCTCAAGGTTTCGCATAAGCCATGTATGCAACTCATCCCTCCAGCGATGCGGCGGATGGTCGCAGTTTATATACTGCATAAAAGCAAGCGCCGTCCATGCCTCCATAGATGTGCAACTCTCAGACGACATTCCAGGGCACTGCGAGACCGCCCACTCAATCTCCCGTCCCAGTGCCAACAGCGTATCAAGAAACCCGGGAACTTTGTCATCCTCTGTGATACTGTGTGGATGTACCAGGTTCGTAAAAGCAAACCAGGTTCTCAGCAACACGCAACGCAATTTAGGACTCAACACAGCACTCTGAAGTGTATGATGTGTAACTCTTTGTATGACCACCACCACACGTTGTACACAGGGCGTCAACGCATCATCGTTCGCAGACACGAGCACCTTTGCCAAGGTTGTTAAATGGGAACACAAAGATATTATAAATGACTCTGACATGGGAAGCGAGAGAGCACGTTCCATCTCGGTACAGCTAGATTCAATACACTGCTCAACCACTCCTCGTAATCCTTCTACGGGGTCCGCATTGTGTGTTTGTGAAGCACTGCACGATTCCACGAGAGCAAGAGCTGCCCGAAGCGAAAATATACGGAAAACGTCCCATGCATTTTCGCCTAACTGACGTGGTATTGGCTTAATTCCTGGAACTTTATCAAACATAAAGCGCTCTGCCCCAAAATTGAGCTTGATAAGCCCCTTTCCGCATATTCCAATCAAGGGATGTAGGCTATGATGTGTAACTTCTACTGAAGCAACAATATCTTTACCATTTTTAGTCCAATAAATCTCCCTTGTTTCTGTGTTCCATCCACACCCCATAACATCCCCTATGCCAAACGTGCAACCTATGGGCCGGCCAAGTGTATTACTTTCATGCAGCGTGCCCTCTTCGCTCTGCAGAGCGCATGACTCACTATCCCATCCAGGTAACCGTGAAACACTGTAGTCTGATGGTCCTACACCCACGCAACAACTCCCACCAGGGTACATGTCTACAATAAGAACCTCAAAGTAGTAAGGGGCATTTTTTTGGCCCAAAGACCATTCAGCAGGAACCACGCACGTGCCTCTTCCTCCAAGACCCTTAATCGTACAACCAGAACGGCCTATAACTAGGGTTGGAGCTGCCCCACTTGCGGAAAGTCGCGTGTTGCGCATACCTTCTGGTATATCACCATTCAATTGTGATATTCCGTTGGGAGTTCGATTCTCAAACCTCCACAAGGAACGAAGTGTCGTTACAATATCGCTTCGTACTCTCCGAAAATCGATGACTCGAAGCTCGGAGATTAATAACGACAAAAACACATCTGCCCACATGTCATGTGTCTCACCTTTGACGTTGGCCACCACAAGCTCCAATAACTGAAAGAAGGCGCCATGGAGCCGAAGAAAATCTCCCTTTGAACAGCACTGTACATCATCCGAGTAGTGCCATCCTGTAAACGCCTTTGTCAAAACAGGAAGAACAATACTTGCCAAGGTCTCACTTGCCCTTGCCTCCTCAATTAGTTGTCGCAGCAGTAGCATACCAGAAAGTCGATAATGCGCTCGCTGGGTTTGTTGCACAACAAGACTGTCAACACTTTCCCGTTCCACATTTCTATCCCAGAGAAACTGCAAAATAACCGCTCCTGGTTCACCCGACTCTATCTCGCGTTGCTGAGGGAGTTTGGTTTTCAAAACCCTCAATGCCTTCCAGGTCTGAAAAAAACGCTTCCATTTTCGCTGTGGGGTCGCATCTCTGGTAGCAGACCTTATGCGAGGCAGCTCCTCGGCTCGAGCCCCAGAGATAGGTTCAAAACGGGCCAAAAACTTGGCCCTTTCTTCCAAAACATCCAGTGCCTCTCGGTTTTCCTGCCGCGTTGAAAGCACCAAAGCCCGCATGTTATGAACATAGCGAAACATGGGTGCTAGCGTCTGTTTTGTTGCTTGGCGCAAAGACTCTGTGGGGATCAGCAGCGCACAAAATGCTGCCATCAGAAGTCGTTCCAATTTCATCAAGCGATCATCTCGAAGAACCAGTAAGGCACCAGGATCATCTTTGTGTAGTTCATCAACGACTCTCGAAATAGATCCCACACCTTGCTGTATGCTTTTAATAATAGCATCTCGCTCACACCCTGACTTGCGAACACCGCCCCACAGCAGATGTAAATACTTCAGCTCCACATCGGTTGTCACCACATCGGAGGAGACAAGCAGAGAGCAACCTATTCGACACAGCGCTGAGGTCAGCGCCACACCGAGTTCATACAGTAATTGCTCATTGCAAGAAAGAGCATCGGTAAGAGCAAACAAAGCCTCACGGCAACTCTTCAAGGGAGGGAGACAACTTGCTTGAATACCTGTAGGCAGTAGTGGAAGGGCAACTGTGAATGAGGGTAATAACGCCCCCACTGCGCTAGATTCAATGCAGGTGATCAATTTACCAAGGTATAGCTCCGGCTTTTTTCGAAGAGCCTTGGATGATATCTCCATAACCCTCTCACTTGTTCGTAGGAGCAACTTCGCATACGTCGTCACAAAGGTGCAGCATTCCCCTTCATACTTTTCTACGGCTTTAGCGAGAAGAATTTCTTGAAAAACTTCAAGAGAGTGACTCGTCCGTTGTATGGCTTCCAGAGCCTTCCCATTACCCCCCAGCCAACGATCCACCTGAAACACCTCCTCAGCCATCAAAGACGAGCAGAAAAGTTGAGCATTGTCGGTATTGTTCAGTAGCATACTCGATGCATGTAATGACCCATAGTAATCAAGTAGGGAGCGAAACAGCATGTCCTCTTTTTCCGTAATTCGTCCTCTACCGGCTTGTGTCTTCACAAAAGCAAGACGACTTTTTTCAGAGAGCAAACAACGGCACGTCATGGAGAGAAGACCAGATTCAAAAAATGATTCTTGAAAAGAAAGTCGTAATAATTCGGCTCTTGGATCAGGCTCTCCGCTATAACCTTGTGCCGCCTTTATAAGCGCATGTGCATCAGGAAAAACATCTCCAATTTCTTTTATGAGACTGTATCGTTGGTTTTCAACTCGGCAGAGCAAATTTGCATGTAGCAACGCATATAACTGTCTAGTGTAGTCCTCATCCTTTTGTTCAAGCAATACAATATGAATAATTCGCAATAAACTCGAGATTAATCCGTCGGTGGTGTCAACAACAAGCCCCGGGACATGAACAGACCATGATAGTTGATCCACCAAGCAGCGTTCAGCCCCTACAAGACGCTTCGCATACATTGCACACTGTGTCAATAGATCCCTCTCACATTCCAATATATTCTCATACCTGTCCTTCTTTAAAAGGGGGAAATAATGTTGTTGATGCAATTCCCAAATTAACACTCGCTTGGGATGCTCCGCCGTGGAGGCGTAACAAACTAACGAATGCCGCAACGCATTATATGCCATGCCTTTAAGTGGCGTACGAATAGGAAGTTCCACTCTCGCCTGAAATATCAGTCTGAGATCGTAGGTTGTGTATTCACAAATAGTGAGAGAAGGTCCTTCTGTTGGCACAGCAACCGCAATATAACCCGGACAACTTGACAAAAAGAGAATCCCTGAAGACTCTCGCCAGGCAATGGGTGCAAAATCATCAATGCAACGCACAATATTTAGTGGAGCAATAGGAAACTGATCAACCGCTAACCATGTCGCTTGTCCATAGTGCAAGAGTGCATGAGAACCATTTGCAGCATAGTCAGCAATCACGTCACCTTCACCTTCGTCGAGTGGGAAGTACCCAGCTAGGGCGGGCTCCACCGTCGTGAGAGAACGCCTGCTGTCCCTGGAAAGCTGTACAGGGGTGCGGCAACAGCTCCATATACGCACCTCAGCTAAGCATCCCACAAAGCTTTTTCCCAAAACACACTCAACATCTATCAACGCCTCTGGAGAAACGAGAGCTGGTGCGCGGGCGACAATGGCGTCATTAACCCATAGCTCCCACGAGTTACCTTTAAATAAAAGTGCCACGTGCCACCAACGCTGACAAAAGGCTAGGTTCCCAGGAACTGCAAATGTTACAAATGAAGCGCCAAGATGAGGAGTTCTAGAACCACCACGCCACAAAACACCCTCTGGGGTAGGCTCAATTTCAATCAAAACCTCATCCATATTTTTGTCTCCCAACGAAAGAACACTTTGATATTCCAACGCGTTGCATGGATAAACCCACATTTCCACGGTAAATGGATGAAAGTTTTCTTTCAGTGTGACTCGGCCGATAGATATCGCATTTCCCTTAGTAAAGTAGTAACATTTTTTCGCCGCATGCCATAATCCCTGACCACGTTTTAGAGCAGTTTGAGATGTCACATTAAACTCGTGCTGAGCAACAGAAAATATGGCATCCAGATCTTTTTGGATTAAGTGACATTTACTATTTGATATCCGTGATGACTCACTGCACACCAGGCAACTAAGTACGGAGCCGTAAATATCGAAAAGAACATCACGTGAGGCCACCAAAGAGTCGTCAAAGAGAAATAAAATTTTAGATTTGGCTACAAGCTTTCCAGTTGCACGATTGCACCTTTGAATAGAGTAACAAGTATTTCCCATTGTAGACGGCAGTCGAACGGCTAGAAACAGATCCTTCACATTGCACAGAATAATTCTCATATTATTTTCAATTGGAAGTTCAAATTCCTCCCTCAGCTTAAATCGGGTTCCCATCATCCCCAATTGATCAAAGACACATCCCCGATTCCCACTACACACAACAAGCCTCTCGTCGGTTGGGAAACAGGACACCCGAGTTGAATGAATGGAAAAAGATAACTCACAGCTTCGTGTTAGAAATCCATCGGTTTTTGCCTTTACAAAACTTACACGATGTTCTAAAGGAGGAGGGGTATACTCCCCCTGTATTACATCCTTAGTTGGTTGTTGTAAAAGGCAATTCACAACAACACCAAGTCTTTCAGAGCGTAACGCTAAAGAAAACTCAGCAAAAAAAAGTCTTCTTTGTTGCTCCTTTGTCAAATGGGACATATTTATCCGAGACCTAAAGAGTTGAAGTACCTCCACGCATGAGCCAATTTCTTTTGGAGAGGAAATACTTTTCAAAGCCATAGCTTCTGTACCCTCAATGAGAGCGTCACAAAAGGGACCAATGGCTGGGCACACAATGGAGCCTAGATGAACCACAATCTGTAAAAAACTAGGCTTGTGGTTCTCTTGCTGTACTGTCAGGGCAAATGATTCTATTGCTCCCAATAGTCTTTCACGAATAAGTTCAGAAGCAGCAAGGGATCGTTTGAGTTTAACGGAACGAGACTTATCTATCTCCTCAAGATTGCTATTTTGATTCGCCACGCTGCACTTGGAGTTTTCTATAAGCATCTGAATGTACCGTGCTGCATAGGCAGGGTCACATGAAAGCAATGGTATTTCAAAATCATCAAGGGTAGTAACTGTACTTGTTAAAACTTCGTTTTTGCGAAAGGAATTAACGTCTAGTATGTCTGCAATACTAAGTAAACCCCAATCACTCATATCATCCTCCATATTAGATTCCATAACGTAAGAGATATAAGAATCTACTGACAAAAAAAAAAAAAATAAGTACTACGACAAAACAAAAAAAAAAAGAATATATATATATATAATAAAAACAAGAACAAGAAATAAAAGAAAAAAAAAATAAAGAAAAATACAAAAAGTAAGGACCAATAAAACAAAAAAAAGGACAATAATAAACAAAATAAA